AGGTAGGCCGTTGATGTAGTCCGATTTCGATCTGACGGTCGACGATGAACTAGCCCAAAATGAAGTTGAAGTTGGAATGTGGGCCGTCGATGAAGCAGATGTGGATCTGACGGTCGAAGACTGACGCGAGATTGGATGGAACCTGCTGACGCGAAATTCAATCGCGATGTTGCAGAAACCGTTGATCGTGAAGCAGCGATCGCAGTCGTCCGTCGTGCTGCTGCATTCTGACAAAGTCAGAAATTGTGCCGAGAAAACGCCGAGGAAAGAAAGAGTGCAAAGCACTTTCTCCCCCCCCCTTCAAGAAATGCTCCACAGAAAAGTTTCGCAGCTGCGCCGAGATGAAAACCAACAAAACCAGGTGTTAAGTCCCACTGAGAAGACTGGTGAGCGTAGAGACCCAGGTGAAAGTTGCGTCAGTGTGGAAACTCGATGACGAATCCCAGGTGTTACGTGCCCAAAATTTCTTCGAGGGCGAACCCGAAGATGTAGACCAGAAACTGAAACTAAAATTATCGAATACTCGAACTGAACCGTTTGTGAAAGAATGAGGAATGGATGCACTAGGAAACAGGTGGGTACATGTAGGAAAACCTAAAAGTGTTGTACCCCATATTGTCTACCCCACTACAGCCTACACAGACTATAGCATATAAGTTTGACACACCCCCATAGGCAAAGTGGGGGAGAACAAGAGGTCACAAGACCAGTCAAGCAAAGCATTGTAAGCTCAGGGTGGATCACAACGTCACCACACATTCCGAGCACAAGTTCAAGGCCACAAGGCCAGTTCACATGCAAGATCATATATAAAGGCAAACAAGCAAGTGCAGGTATAGATAGATCACAGTACAAGAAAGGTCAAGAAGTGAGCAAGTGAGGCCAAGTAGGCACAAGACCTAGCATCGTACAGAAGCGCTGATGATCACAAGGCGGAAGTGCCTTGGTAAAGATATCAGCAGTGTTGGCCTGAGAGGCCACGTAAGCAAGGCGCAGCTGACCACGCTGCTGTAGCTCACGAGCAAGGAAGTAGCGAAGCGCAATGTGCTTCGTTCTGTGCTCCAGTCTGTGCTCCCGACACAAGGCCAGCATGGCCTTGTTGTCTATGTACAGAACTGGAGGAGAACGAGGCGGCTCTCCTAGGTCAGTCAGCAGGTAGGTGAGCCAGCGTAGCTCCTGTGCAGCCATGGCCCCCGCGTAGATCTCAGCCTCACAGCTAGAGCCGAGAACAGAAGACGAGCGGGTAGACCGCCACGAAACAGAGCCGGAACCAAGGCTGAAGGTGTAACCCTGTGACGACCGCTGCGTAGCGTGGTCGTCAGCCCAAGAAGCGTCTGCGTGACCTGTGAGGACCACTGAACGCCGCCCTCCAAGCACTAGCCCCATGCCCGACGTACTGCACAAGTAGCGCAACACCCTCTTCGCTACAGCCATGTGCTCTGGTCGGTGTCTCCCAGGAGCAACATAGCGTGCCAAGATGCTAAGAGGGTATGCAAGGTCAGGTCGAGTGCAGGTCATCAGGTACATGAGGCAGCCAACAAGCTCTGGGTACGGGCCACTCGGCTCTACGGACTCATCCGAAGGCAGAGCTGAGAGCGAGTGGCGAGTAGACAGAGGAGTGGCCTGAGGCGAGGAGTACGTGAAGTCGAAGCGCTGAAGGACCTGCTGCACCATGTGTGATTGAGTCAGGGTAATGGTGCGCTGTGCTCTGTCCCGGGTGATCTGAAAGCCAAGGTAGCTGCGCAGTTCACCCAGGTCTGTGCACGTGTGTCTCTTCTGCAGCTCGGACTTCACGTGGGCGATTCCAGCAGTGTCAGCAGTGGCAAAGACCAAGTCGTCGACGTACACGAGGATGTAGAACGGCGGCAAAGAGGTGTCGGTGCGTAGAAACAGCGACGGTTCGGCAGTAGAAGGAGCAAACCCAAGAGCCGCAAGTGTAGTCCTCAGTGTGTCGTGCCACTCACGGGGCGCCTGGCGGAGACCGTAGACTGGCCGCCGGAGGCTCCACCGGGTACCAGGAGGAAACGACCCAGTGAAGCCAGGTGGGCGGCGCAGCCAGATCTCCTCGTGCAGGCTGCCCTGTAGGAAAGCAGTGCTGAAGTCAAGAGAGTGAAGCTCGTAGTCGCGCTGAGCGGCTATGTGCAGCAGCACCCGAAGAGTGGTCATCTTCGGGGTGGGAGAGAAGGTCTGAAAGTAGTCAACTCCCTGCCGCTGACTGAAGCCTCGAGCCACGTAACGCGCCTTGAAGACAGGCGGAGAACCCGGCCGCCGCTTCACCCTGAATATCCACATGCCACTGACGATGTTCGCCCCAGGTGGGGGAACCTCGTCGACGTAGGTGCCTGTGGACTTTCAGGAAGCCATCTCTGTGTCCATGGCTGACTGCCACTGTGAGGAGTAGGGACCCTCGATCGCCTCAGCGTACGATCGAGGAGTCGGGATGTCTGGTGCATCCGGGTCTCCCTCAGGGGCAATCAGCGTGGACACGAGATGAGGCAAAGCAGCAGCAAAACACTGGAACTCCTCCTGCCTGTCCTCAAGGACGTCCGTGCTAAGAGCACACTCACCCCCGACGGACGGAGGACAGACAGACTCAGACTCAACAACAAGACTAGCGGCGTAGTCTAGACGACAGCGAGCAGCAAAGTCGACAAGCTCAGCAACCAAGGCAGACGCAGCAGTGGACTCAAAGGAAGGGTCAGTGACAACAGTAGCCAGGAGACGCGTGACAGTAGGACTGGCAGCACGAAGAGAGTCAGACTCTGGGTCAGAAAGAACAGGAAGAGAGGACTCTGGAGGAGACGGCAGAGGGACACGCAGAGGAGCAGTGGAAGGACGCAGTGCCATCTGGTGTGTGCCTGGGACCGCAGGAGGACGCGGACGCGGAACACGACTACTAGTGCGAGTAGCACGAACAGGCGACGCAGGACGAGACGCAGGCTCACGACGCTCAGCAAGACCACCAGTAGGACCAGTGTAGGGAGAAGGAGCAGGCAGGGGGGAGGCGGGCTGTAACTGTGACTGCGACTGGACAGGCGGTGGACACTCTAAGGGAGGAGCAGGACCAGTAGAAGGCGGAAGACCAAGAACCTGCTCAAGGAGCGGAACGAAGTACGTCCACGGCCGCACAGCGCCTCCAGAAATAGCAGGGACAGCACCAGTACCCCCAGCGGCAGCACCAGCGCCAACACCCCCAGCAGCTCCAGCTCCAGCAGCTCCAGCAGCACCTACTCCAGCAGGGCCGCCAGCTCCAGCACTAGGAGCACCTCCAGGCCCAGCAGCTCCAGTCCCCCCAGCAGTACCAGCAGCTCCAGTACCTCCAGCAGCACCAACTCCAGCAGCCCCAGCAGCACCTCCAGTCCCAGCAGCTCCAGTACCGCCAGTACGAGCACCTCCAGGACCAGTGGCTCCAGTACCTCCAGCGCCGACCCCAGGGTCAGCAGCAACAGTAGCACCTCCAGCTCCAGCAGCACGGCTCCAGCGCCGGGCAAACCACTCGCGCAGCTCCTGTGGAGAGGGTAGCTCCCGCCGAGACGAAGCACCCGAAGGGCCCCCAGACCCAGCACCGCCAGAGGCCACACGAGCAGACCCAGCACCCCCAGGCTCCGCACCCCCAGGCTCAGCACCCCCAGGCTCCGCACCCCCAGGCTCCGCACCCCTAGGCTCAGCACCCCCAGGCTCAGCACCCCGAGACTCAGCACCCCCAGGCTCAGCACCCCCAGACTCAGCACCCCCAGGCTCAGCACCCCTAGCAGCACCAGAGTCAACAGCTACCTCGACAGGCTCGACTGCGTCTACCTGGGACACACCTGACGGGGCAGGACCCTGAGGGGGGAGAGGGTCTACCGGGGGGGGACCTGGCGCAAGGAAGAGCGGCGGCGGGGGGAGGGGCGCAGTGCGATAGGGGAAGAGACGGTAGTAAGGAACCGACTCGTCAAAGGTGACGTCCTGGGAGGACAGAACACGGCGCGAGGTGGGGTGGTAAAACTGCCAACCAGGTGCGTCAGGGGGGAAGCCAAGGAAGACGCAGGGAACAGCACGGGGGGACAGCTTGTCCGCAGACAAGTCGTGGACAAACGCCCGAGATCCCCAGACACGAAACGCAGACCCATCGTCAGCCTTCCCCATCCACCGCAAGGTGGGGGAGGTCTCTGGCAAGGAGACTCGGGGCTGAAGGTTGATCTGATGCGCCGCGTACTGAACCGCGAACGGCCACAGAAAGTGGGGAGCAGCGGCATGGATCATGGACGTACGAGTGACGTCCATGACCATGCCAATGCGGCGCTCAGCAATCCCATTTTGCTGTGGAGAGGCCGGAAGCGTGAACGTCTGGCGGATGCCCTGTGCACGACAGAAGGCTCGCAGAAGGTCAGAGGAAAACTCACCGCCTCTGTCGGAGTGCAGACGCAGGACAGGAAAGTCCGAGCCGAAACTCTCTCTGAGCTGGAGACGAGCTGCGCGGATCCAGTCGATCAACACCTCAGTGACCTCATCCTTGCTGCGCAAGGGGAAGACCGTGGTGTAACGCGAGTAGTCGTCAACCACCAGCAGGAAGTAACGCTCGTGACCCTGTCCACGGACGCGGGCTGGGCCCCACACGTCCATGTGAAGCGTCTGCAGCGGAGCCTCTGTCGGAGGAAACTCGGAGGAGTGAGGAGCGGCGCGCTGCCGCCCCTCGACGCAGGGAACGCAGGTGGGGGCAGGCCCCGGAGGAAGAGAAGGGAGGGACCGGGGGAGACCCGAGACAAGGAAACGAGAGGCCATGCCTCGGAGACGAGGCAGGGAGGGGTGACCAAGGCGGTGGTGCCAGAGGAGAGTCTGGTGAGACAGGAGACGACACGAGCAGGGGGCAGACTCAGGACCAGACCTGGACGCTGCAGCAAACACCTGACTCGACGCAGCTACCTGAGGAGACTCAGTAGTCAGTATGTACAGGCTCGACCCCGGCTGACGGGTAAACGTGGCCAAGTGTCGGCCCGTCCGAGCACACGTACAGTGGGTCACTCGCTGACGCGCAGGAGTGAACTGGTCAACCCCTCCATCCTGTAGGTCAGCACCACTCACCAAGTTCGTAGAGAACGAGGGGAGGTAAAGACCTGACAGGGAGCCAGAAGGGGCCACCGGACACGGTAAGACAGTGGAGAAGTGGGCAAGGACAGGACCCCCAGAGGGGTCTGCCAGGGAGACTGCAACCGGCCGACTGAGCGGCGTGAGTGTGGTGCGGTCTCGAAAGAAGGAGCGGGAAGCACCCGAGTCAAGGGTGAAGGTGTGTAAAACCTGAGCCGACGTGGTACCTGAGAGAGCAGACTCACCAGCACCTGGGGCAGCAGACTCACCAGCACCTGGAGGAGTAGACGCACTAGCACCTAGAGCAGCAGCCTCACCAGCACCTAGAGCAGCAGCCTCAATGCCCGGGTCAGGCGGAACACACAGGTAACAGTCACCCACATCACTAGTAGGCAATGCATACATGGAAGTGAGGATAGCATCATAGTCAAGAGCATAGATATCTACCCTCTGCCTAAGCAGCTCCACCCAGTCGGGGAGCTCAGCGGCGTCGCCAAACTCCGTACGCCAGGCGTCGCTCAGACGGGCAAAGCAGCGGGACTCTGCGTGACCAAACGTCCCGCAAGGCTGACCAGTCCGAGCACCAGTGCGAATGACGTACGGACAGCGAGCAGTACTCCGTGACCCTCCACGCTGAGCGTACCACTCACGAAGCTGCTGGGGCGAAAGGACCGCGCGCGGACTACGCTGCAGCTGCACCTGGCCACTACAAGCAGCTCCCGAACTACTCACGCCAGAACGACTCTCACTACGGCCACCCCGACAACTCCAAGTAGCGTACCACTCACGAAGCTGCTGGGGCGTGAGGGACTCACGCGGACGTCGCTGGAGCTGCATCTGGCCACCGTCTGGGGCAGCAGGAGCAGTGGTAGCCGCAGTGGCAGCAGTAGCAGCAGTAGCAGTGCGGCCACCCCTACAACCCCAACTAGCGTACCACTCACGAAGCTGATGGGGGGCGAGGGACTCACGCGGACGGCGCTGGAGCTGCATCTGGCCACGCCAGGAGCAGCAGTAGCAGTAGAAAGAGCAGTAGTAGCAAGAGCAGCAGTAACAGCAGTAACAGCAGAGCTCACCAGTGGCAAGAAGGGCAGGAGTACGACAGCGGCAATGGTGAGGCCGCTACCACCGCAAGGCGAGGGCCCCGCGGCTGCTGCAGGGACTGCTGCTCGAGAGGCCAGGGGCGGCTGCTGCAGGGGCGGCTACTCCAGGGGCCAGGGGAAACTGCAGCAGCGGCGGCTGCTCCAGGGGCCAGGGTGTCGCGGCGGGCAGGGGCGGCGGCGGCTGACACGGCAGCGGCAGCGGCGGCTGCTGGTGTCGGCGGCGGCGGCGGCTGCTGCTGTCGGCGGCGGCGGCTGCTGCTGTCAGTGGTGGCGGCGGCTGCTGCGGCCGGGGCAGGGGCGGCGGCGGCGGACACGGCAGCGGCGGCGGCGGCTGCTGCCGTCGGCGGCTGCGGCGGCTGCGGCGGCAGCTGCTGTCGGCGGCGGCGGCGGCTGCGGCGGCCGGGGCAGGGGCGGCGGCGGCTGAGAAGGGGCCGCAGGGCCGCGAGGGGCCGTGAGAGGGGCCGCGAGGGGCCACGAGGGGCCGCGAGGGGCCGCAAGGGAGCCGCGACGGGGCCGCGAGGGGCCGTGGGAGGGGCCGCGAGGGGCCGCGAGGGAGCCGCGAAGGGGCTGCGAGGGGCCGTGAGAGGGGCCGCGAGGGAGCGGCTAAGGAGCCGCGAGGGGCCGTAAGAGGGCGCGACGGGCCGCTAAGGGCAGGGGACGCGACGGGAGGGCAGGCACACGGGGCGCTACTCGGGCAGGGGCGAAGCGCGCTCCGGGCAGGAAAAAAAAAATTCCGATTTTCGGTGGGCCCTAGGAAACGTTCCCACTAGGGAACCTGCTCTATACCATGTGAAAGAATGAGGAATGGATGCACTAGGAAACAGGTGGGTACAAGTAGGAAAACCTAAAAGTGTTGTACCCCATATTGTCTACCCCACTACAGCCTACACAGACTATAGCATATAAGTTTGACACCGTTTTGTCTTCACGTCGCCAGAATCAGCCGATATCTTCAGCAGTTGCAGCTGGCAGCTCCTGACGTGGTTGAGAATTAATGCAGTTGTCGTGGGCGGGTCGAAGGCGAGTTGTCGGTAGCAGAGTTGGAAATGGTTTCTCCGAGAGTTTTGTCGTAATGCGTCGATGATTCTTGGGCAGGGATGAAATTTCACAGCTGTCGCTCCCCCCCTTCACTGTTGCTGCCGCCTTCTTCAGTTCGTCGTAAGTCCTTCGTACCCCTGAAAAAGTTCGTGTAAATCTCGCGGTGCTGCCCCCCTCCGTTTGACGCGTGCGTTTAACCAAACGCCGAATTCTCCTCCGAAATTGTCGGCGCTCCTTGCCGTAAAACCGGTAAGTCCCCACGTAAACTCTCCGAAATTGTCGCTCACATCAAACCCCGTAAATCCGCAGTTGCAGTTGCAGTTCGCCTCCGAAAACCTCGGACGTGCTATAGCCGCCCACTCGGTCACCATCAGTTTCCGTCGGTTACCCGACCCCAGCATGTGGGTTCAATCGAGAATCGGGGACTGCCCTGGGTTATTCCGAGACCGAATTTCACGGAACCTAGAGGCATCAACGCCGTTGACTCCGTAGTCGAAACTGCTCCCGCCGATGCTGTTTAACAAAAACCCATGTTTCTCCCACCAGCGCTTTGCAGATGTTTCACCGCATCGCTCGTCGCCGATCGATAAGTTCCCGAAGCTACGACTGCTTCCACGCTCCCTTTTTTCTGAAGAATTTCCCGAGGTGTGCGTTTAAACACCGGGGGTCCTAGGCATCCTTGTGAGAAATGACTAAGGGAAAGTTGGGTACAAATGTAAACCCTAGAAAACTGTACCCCATATGTGCTACCCCACTATAGCCTACAGTAGCTATGTCATATAAATCTGACACACCCCCATAGGCAAAGTGGGGGAGAACAAGGGGTCACAAGACCAGTCAAGCAAAGCAAAGCAAGCTCAGGGTGGATCACAAAGTCACCACACATTCCGAGCACAAGTTCAAGGCCACAAGGCCAGTTCACATGCAGGATTACATATATATATAAGGCTAGACAAGCAAGAGCAGGTGTATATATATATGCAACAGTACAAACAAGGTCAAGGGGTGAGCAAGTGAGTCAAGGTAGGCACAAGACCCAGCTGAGTACAGAAGCGCTGATGATCACAAGGCGCAAGTGCCTTGGTGAAGATATCAGCAGTGTTGGCCTGAGAGGCCACGTACGCAAGCCGCAGCTGACCACGCTGCTGTAGCTCACGAGCAAGGAAGTAGCGGAGAGCAATGTGCTTCGTTCTGTGCTCCAGTCTCTGCTCTCGACACAAGGCCAGCATGGCCTTGTTGTCTACGTACAGCACTGGAGGAGAACGAGGCGGCTCTCCGAGGTCAGTCAGCAGGTAGGTGAGCCAGCGAAGCTCCTGTGCAGCCATGGCCCCGGCGTAGATCTCAGCCTCACAACTGGAGCCGAGAACAGAAGACGAGCGGGTAGCCCGCCACGAAACAGAGCCGGAACCAAGGCTGAAGGTGTAACCCTGTGACGACCGCTGCGTAGCCTGGTCGTCAGCCCAAGAAGCGTCTGCATGCCCAGTGAGGACCACTGGACTCTGCCCTCCAAGCACAAGCCCCATGGCCGACGTACTGCACAAGTAACGCAACACCCTCTTCGCTGCAGCCATGTGCTCCGGTCTGTGTCTCCCAGGAGCAACATAGCGTGCGAGAATGCTAAGAGGGTATGCGAGGTCAGGTCGTGTGCAGGTCATCAGGTACATGAGGCAGCCAACAAGCTCTGGGTACGGGCCACTCGACTCTACGGACTCATCCGAAGGCAGAGCTGAGAGTGAGTGGCGAGTAGGCAGAGGAGTGGCCTGAGGCGAGGAGTACGTGAAGCCGAAGCGCTGAAGGACCTGCTGCACCATGTGTGACTGAGTCAGGGTAATGGTGCGGCGTGCTCTGTCCCGGGTGATCTGCAAGCCAAGGTAGCTGCGCAGTTCACCCAGGTCTGTGCACGTGTGTCTCTTCTGCAGCTCGGACTTCACGTGGGCGAGTCCAGTAGTGTCAGCTGTGGCAAAGACCAAGTCGTCGACGTACACGAGGATGTAGAACGGCGGCAAAGAAGTGTCGGTGCGCAGAAACAGCGACGGGTCGGCAGTAGAGGGAGCAAACCCAAGAGCCGCAAGTGTAGTCCTCAGTGTGTCGTGCCACTCACGCGGTGCCTGGCGGAGACCGTAGACTGGCCGCCGGAGGCTCCACTGGGTGCCAGGAGGAAAAGACCCAGTGAAGCCAGGTGGGCGACGCAGCCAGATCTCCTCGTGCAGGCTGGCCTGCAAGAAAGCAGTGCTGAAGTCAAGAGAGTGCAGCTCGTAGTCGCGGTGAGCAGCTATGTGCAGCAGTACCCGAAGAGTGGTCATCTTCGGGGTGGGAGAGAAGGTCTGAAAGTAGTCAACTCCCTGCCGCTGACTGAAGCCACGAGCCACGTAACGTGCCTTGAAGACAGGCGGAGAACCCGGCGGTCGCTTCACCCTGAAAATCCACATGCCACTGACGATGTTCGCCCCAGGCGGGGGAACCTCGTCAACGTAGGTGCCTGTGGAGTTCCAGGAAGCCATCTCTGTGTCCATAGCTGCCTGCCACTGAGAGGAGTAGGGACCCTCTATCGCCTCCGCATAAGAGCGCGGAGTCGGGATGTCAAGTGCATCCGGGTCTCCCTCAGGGGTAAGCAGTACGGACACGAGATGAGGTGAAGCAGCAGCCAAACACTGGAACTCCTCCTGCATGTCCTCAAGGACGTCCGTGCCAAGGGCACACTCACCCCCGACGGACGGAGGACAGACAGACTCAGACGCAACGACAAGACTAGCAGCGTAGTCTAGACGACAGTGAGCAGCAAAGTCGACGAGCTCAGCAACTAGGGCAGACGCAGCAGTGGACTCAAAGGAAGGGTCAGTGAAGACAGTAGCAAGGAGACGCGTGACAGTAGGACTGGCAGCACGAAGAGAGTCCGACTCCGGGTCGGGAAGAGCAGGAAGAGAGGACTCAGGAGGAGAAGGCAAAGGGGCACGCAGAGGAGCAGTGGACGGACGCAGAGACATCCGGTGCGTGCCAGGGACAGGAGGAGGACGCTGACGCGAACCACGGCCACTAGTGCGAGCAAGACGGACAGGCGACGCAGGGCGAGACGCAGGCTCACGACGCTCAGCCAGACCTCAAGTAGGACCAGTGTAGGGAGAAGGAGCGGGCAGTGTGAAGGCCGGCTGTAACTGTAACTGGGACGGGACAGGCTGTGGACACTCTAAGGGAGGAGGAGGACCAGTAGAAGGCGGGAGACCAAGAACCTGCTGAAGGAGCGGAACGAAGTACGGCCGAGGCCGCGCGGCGACTCCAGACACAGCAGGGACAGCACCAGTACCCCCAGCGGCAGCACCAGCGCCAGCAGCACCTCCAGCTCCAGTACCTCCAGCAGCACCAGGAGCACCCCCAGCAGGACCGCCTCCAGGACCGACAGCAGTAGCCTCAGCGCCAACACCCTCAGCAGCTCCAGCTCCAGGCGTACCCGCAGGCCCAACAGCTCCAGTACTCCCAGTACGAGCACCTCCGGGACCCGCGGCACCAGCACCCGCAGCAGTCGAAGAACTTCCAGCTCCAGCAGCACGCCTCCAGCGTCGGGCAAACCACTCTCGCAGCTCCTGTGGAGAGAGTGGCTCCCGCCGAGACGAAGCACCCGGAGAACCTCCAGGCTCAGCACCGCCAGACGCCAAACGAGCAGGCCCAGCTCCCTCAGGCTCCGCACCCCCAGGCTCAGCACCT